TTTTTTTAATCCATGATCGATTTTTTTGAAAATTTGTTATTTATTTTTTTTAATCCATATTATTCAAAGAGAAAATGAGAGAGATGATGATTCTGAGGCCACCCTATCCCAGCCATATTATTCACATATCGAGTCCCAACAGCAACAGTGTAGGGATGAGTACGAAATACTGTAAATTAAATGTTGAATGACGGTTCATGCAGGGAAAGAACATATCAATATTCGCATATTCATTCAAAAACATGAAAATTCTTAATGAAGTACCCTAATTTTTTATTGAATTCCTAAAAAACAATATTTATAATGAATTTTAATAATTTTTTCGAATTTTTTTAAAGCTTTATTCTTACCGATTCACCCGATTTTCGATCCGAATCGCCGATTCGCCGATCCGGATCAATTTTTTGGAAACCCGATCCGGGTCACCGATCCGTTTTTTAAACCATTGGTTTAGACAGAGACATAGAGATAGAGAGAGAGTTTAGAAAGAGAGATAAAGATAGAGAGAGAGTTTAGAGAGAGATAGAGATAGAGAGAGAGTTTAGAGAGAGAGAGATAGAGACACAGAGAGAGTTTAGAGAGAGAGAGAGCCGTTATTGGAAAAGAAGGGGTTCTAAAAATTTAGGTTATTAAGCAACGTAACGGGCCGGTCGGGACCGGCAAAGTGCGTCGCGAAAAAAAGCGATGACGAAAACAGGAGCAGAGAAGAAGAGGGTTCGCAGAGCGGTTCAGAGCAGCAAAGACATTAACGATATCCCCCTTAAGGTACTAACACTTTCTTTCTCTCTCTACAACTCTTCCTTCTCTTGTTTTTCTTTTATCCTTGCCATTTTGGTTATGTTTTCGTTGATCTAGGGTTTTTCATTTCTAACCATTCTTCGGTGGATAGGAATCGATTTATTGTCTAAATTGATATTGTTCTGTGTTTTTATCTTGATCAGACGAATTGACTGTGCCTTTCTGATTATTTTCTGGGAAATTTATCGAAATACACCTAAACTTTCAACGGTTTAACAGTTTACATTTTTTCCAACTGTTTTGATGGTCGTGTGTTTTGATAGATATTTTGAAATTAAGTTTAAAGGTATGGGTAAGTTATCAAATGGTGGATCTCATGAGTATTTTGGTAACATTCCCGTTTCTTTTTATCTCTAAATTTAAGTTTTTGTTATTTATGCTGGCTTTTTTCATGAGTTGGGGCAGCATTTGTGTTTCTTGTCTGCTTTCTTCTTGTATCTGTGATGATTTGGTTGGGTTTCATTTGTCAATGGTATTCTGTATTCCTATTACTTGGTATGGTGAGCTGAGAATTGAAAGGAAAGGTTAATCTTGGACTTCAGAGCTTTGAACAACTGCTCTACAGCCATACATCTCTATTTTTGCTAATTTTCTGTTTTTTATTATGTTATTTAGTTTTATGTCTATGTACTATTGGTGATCTTGTTTTCTTTTGCGTTTGGAAAAACCAACAGTATTCTAGTTTTAGGACTATGGGGGAATGTTTTTTTTTTGGGTTGTGAATGGATCATGGGGTAATTAACTTTTTTCAAGGGGATCATAGTAGAAAACCAAATTAATAAAATTAACTGTTATTGAATGGTGTTTATTTGACATTAAACTGGATTTTGTTAGTCCTTTGCTATTCCTGGATCATTTGTTGATATGACCAATTTTGTCTCTTTGTTACTCGTTGGATAGGGTAGCTTACTTCCTAGATCTTTGGTTCATTCGTCTGAGGCCCTGTCTGTATGAATTGATTTTCCATTTTCTCATCAAATATATAGTTCTCTATTTGTATGTGGTGGTTCATAAGATATTTGTGGTTCATAAGATATTTACACATATATGCAGCGCAAGTTATATGTTTTTTATAGGGATATCAGAATTTTCTATATATCTAGTTTTTTCGAGCAAATGTATATTACGAAATAAACAATGGTATAAATGAGTTGAATTTCCTATTTAGAAAATCGTGTATACATCAGTGTATCTCCAATTAATTTAACAGTATGTACGGCTTCCTTCTGTGAAGTGGCCAAATATTACAAGTGAAATCCTTTATTGCTAGTTTATTTGTCATCTTATTGTGTTGAATTTCAATTTCTGAGGCATTAATTAAGCGTAATTGCTTTGGAAGCTAGTGGGTGTTGCGTGGACATTAGTTGAGAAAGAAGCTTTCTGATACCATGTTAGTAAGTTATGAATCTTTTCTTTGTACAATTTTGTGGCTCAGCTTTGTCCTGGTCAAAAAGGATGCAATCATCTTAGCTTTTAAGTATATAATGGAAAGTTAAATAAATGAATGTTAGGCAAGGTGAGGAGGTTCTATTGTCCATATCCATTTACTGTCAGGAGGGTCATACATGTTAACTCATAGGGTATGGCCTAGTGGTGATTTGAGATGCTCGTTTTGGAATGGGGGAAGTGGATGTAATAATGGGGAGGATGGTCCCATGGAAGCCTTCCCTCGGGTTCATGGATTTTTGTTAGGTTCATATATTGTTGCTATTTTGGAAATCCTTGTCCCTTATGTTGTGCTATGTAATATACAAAGGATTAATCTCTTTGGGACCTACAGTGTTATAATTTGGGTGTTTGGCCGGTTCCGAATGGTTCTTGGTTTTATGAGGGAACCATGTGAGCCTTGGGAGTGTTTCAGATCGAACCTGGCCCAACTGTTGGTCCAGTCTGCTTTATACCATTTTGACTTTCCCCTTCTGAAAATTATGTGTTCCTGGGTTCATTTGGGTTGAAATATGTGCCTTTGCATTTTTTTGCAATTAGAGGGAATGTAAGTAATTTAAGGGTGATCAGAATGAGCCAACCTTATAGGAAGGCCTTGAAGGTCCTTTTAGGAAAGAAAAATTGAAAACCCAGAAAAGACCACCATTCAATCCTTTTTCCTCTTTTCTTCTCTTTTGTTTTTTGAATAAGAGACCTTTGGAGACTTTGATGCTTTTTGCTTTCTTTATCATGTAGTTGTTTTTTTGCTAGTCATGATTTTACTTTTTGTTTAGAAAATTGTTTGTAGGGGAATGGGAAGTGATTGATTTTATGCCGGAATGAGTTTAGTTGTATTTTGAGGGTCTCAAAAGGTCCTGGAGAAAAAGCAAAGAAAGAAAAAGAAAGGACTCATTGAGAATATCTATTTGTTGTTGGATTTGTGGATTTGATATGGGTCTTCTATTAGGTCGAGCCTGACTAAAGTTGAACACATGAACACAACAACCGGCAATGGTGATTGACAACTTGCACATTATAGCTTTTTTTGGTTGTCTTTAATGTGTTCCTATGCAACTCTCGTACATTAAAGTGTTTCCTATTCGTTGAGTTGCTACATTCAGGCATTCTTTTACTTTTCCATGACAAGATCTGGCTTGCTCCTATCCCATTTCACTTGAATATTAATACCTTGCTCATTTTCTTCTATTTGCTTGTCACTACTTAAAAGAGGAGGAGAGATTTGGTTTTCTCTTGCTCTGATCTGAATGCTGTGGCAATGTTCTTGGTCACAGATGTGACCCACTGTAATTTTGAGGACATATCCATGTTTCTATAAGCAAAGATGGTAGTGAATACACAAGGAAAGATGTTGGTGTATAGGACCCTATATAAATCAGTGATAGCTTGTAAATGTTTTAACTATGTTTTTGACATCATCGTTGCAGAAGCAAGCAAAGGTAAAGGATGTGTTTCAGGTCTTTGCGGAAAAGGTGAGAGAGCATAAGAAACTGGAATCAAGATGGGCTGTTTTAAGAGAGACAAGGGTTGAGTATTTCCGAGGGAGAGACTTTTTTGCCTTCTTGAAGAACCATCCAGAGCTCAAGGATATACTAGGCCCTGAGAAGAATTTAGAAGTAGAAGATATTGCTAATATCTTACTCAGAAAGAATCTTATCGTGCGGTGTGATCGTGTGGTAAAGACAGTTAGACCTGGGAAGAAGAAACTGTCAACCTGGCCGGCACATTTGGAGATCTATTCTGTAAGTTTTAGGTGTTTATGAAGAAATTTTGAACTCAGGGAACGTTTGGGATGCGTGAAAATACTTTTGTGAAAATATTTTTACATGAAAGAACTCTCCCATGCGATTAGGTGTTGGAGTTTTTTCACACCAATTGGCAGATAATTGCTGTGAAAGAACTCTCACACCTAATCGCATGGGGGAGGTCTTTCATGTGAATACGAAAGTATTTTTACATGTACCAAACGTGCACTCATGTACTCTACATTTCTGTGCATGTCAGTAGTTCCTCTCTCTCTCTCTCTCTGTCTTTCTCTCTTCTCTCTCTCTCTTTACAAGATATTTTTCTTATTCAAGGATGTGTGAAATTATTGATGAATGTAAAATTTAACTGCTCCTGCACGTAAGGGAGGACTTTCTTTTTTCTTTTAGATCGCATGGGATGACAGCCTTATTTATTTTTCTAAAAGAGGTACATTCTTAATTTATTTAGTAAAGAGCTAACATTGTTAATGACTCCTCATAGTTGATGGCTGTAACCGGATACAAATATCAGTTCCTGGTTTGTTTAATCCCAAGCCTTTGATTGGATTTACTTGTTCTTTAGGACAATAAGTAATGATAAATTGTTTGACTAGTACAGACTTCCAAAAATATTTTAGTCTTCTTGAGTTGCAGACTTCGCCATTGAATTCTTTGGCATTCTGTCATCTATGAAATATAAATCGAATGTCTTTTGCAACTTGTAGTTACTTGATCTTTGGTATGACATATTTTCATGGCTAACAAATCAGGGAACACCCTGAAATGTTATTACCAGTGCGCATTGTATTAACTGTTCAAAATGGGAAAGGCCTGAAAAGGGGATACCCTGGAATGTCATTACCAGTGCGCATTGTATTAACTGTATCCGTTAGTAACTGTTCCTCTTTATGCTGGCATGCTTCAATTAATTCCATGTCAGGCTATCGCAAGTTTCCTTCCATTCTGCTTCAAATTTTCTCCACACATGAATCTGTTATGAATATCCAATTCCTTGTTAATATCTAGCATCAACCCCTTATACAATAGGACCATCTGGTTCAAGATGGCATGATTGTTAAAATTTGATTTGTATATTATTTGCTTTCATTTTCGATGATTTCTTGTTTCTTTCCTTCCATATAATCATATTGCTATTCTCCACAATTTTTCACTCTTGGATGCCTTCCAGGGTGCATCCAGCCTCAACAAGCTACCTGGCTGGCTTGAAAGGTTTGTAAAATTTGACTGCATAGTGTTCATGCAGGAATATGTTTCAAACATAGTGTTCATGCAGGAATATGTTTCAAACATCTATTGAGCCAAAAATGTGCACTTAGGTAATCATCAAGTACAGCTCATTCATCATTCACCAAAAATTCCAAGAGTTATATGACCACCTTCACTTAGAAGTCCTAATACATTCTCTAGTTGATTGTATTATAACTGGAAAGCTTCTCACAAGCAGGAGCTAAAGAAACAATAAATCCCTGACTCGAAAAACATCCTTGTCTAAGTAGCAAAGCGATATTTTACATGGATATTTGCGATGGCTCTCTGAGAATTACCCACCTTTTCACCACAACAATGTTATGACCTTACAACTCATGGTAGCCATACCAGAACATTAACCATCTCCATCCTTAACCAGTTACCTGACAGCAGCATAGCAAACCAGCTATGTATGCTAGAAATCACCGAGAATACCTACCTCTACTCAAAAGGGGTCCATATTGGAAGATTTGAACCTAAAAGCAACGATCTCAAGGGTATGGAAACAAGGGCTGCAAAGGCCTGGAAAACCTCCTGCCCCTATGATTTATAAGTCTAGAGGATGCAGGTGTTATCTTCATTCTACCTTTAAAGGAAGTGGCAACAAAAGTTGTGGCATTCATTAAGTGGTTCAGAGGGGCAAGTTTACAAATTTTAGGAACTTTGATGTCTTCCCAAAGATAGGAGAGGCCTGTGGATGATTCCACCGGCTTGATTGGAGCTTCATCTCTGGCATATGTTTCTGGATCTATTCATATATGCTTGCTACTTATGATGAATACGAGATCACTCCTTGTTGTTAGATTGGCTTAAAATTTCTAGAACCACTATGAAACCCTATCCAAAAACCAGAACTGCAGCTATCTCAAGAACAATGGTGGAAAGTCAAACCTCCATAACAACCATCAAGCCTCAATTTCCAACACCTGCTGTACCTGAGTCATTTCAATGCTGCAAACAAATTACACTCAGCCGACGCCGACCTCAAACTAGCTTTTCCACAAACACCCAAAGCCTAGAGATCAAGCAAGATGATGGGGATTCGTACAATGTTGAGAGAAAGAAAGCGAGTAAGAAAAGAAAAAAAAACATGCAAGAAGCTGAAAGTGGGAAGAGAGATGGCTAGCTCAGCCAAATAGTGGGAGCTGTGGAAGGAAGGCTGAGAAGGAAGGCTGACCTGGCATCCAACCAAGCATGAAAGAAAAATGTGGAGCCCTGCCATTGGAGACCAAAGCTTGACGCAATTCAGCCTAGCACGTGGATTCAATTCAAACATTGCATTGCCGTAAAAATTCCTCAATTGCCCCCCATCATTCCCTGCGGTGCAGTTTGAAATTTCAAATTCCAGTTCTTGATTTCCCTGCCAACTTCTGCCTTCAGAAGACCTACCTTTGATTGTACATCCTATGGCTGGAAACCTCCTAGAGATGAGTCTAATGAGAACAATTGACCAGGCGTAGTCTAATGAGAACAATTGACCAGGCCTTTTCTTGCCCTCAGCGAGCCTTAGAACCCCATCATACCTAGAAATAGTTAACTCGCCCTATCCACTGCCTAAACTGTCTCTTCTACAGCCCACACCTACCAACCACTGCAACCAATAGCCCATCAAATCCAAAAGGCGTGGCCCCCCCTCGATCACATACAAATCAATGCATCCTAAACAGCCTGTACCGCCCTACCACCCACCCCACTGCTTCCCATATACAGTGTTTCATATTGCCCACCTGAACTGCCCTTGCTGCCTTGCTCCCCCCTGCACCAAATGAATCGCCACCCATCATACCGATACAAACCTCAAAATCCATGGCCCCAAATCCAACTCAATTAAGACCAGCAAACTTTCCTTTCTTTCTCTGCGGATCAAGGTGCCTTGCTGGGAAAAACGTTGCAATGCAAAAGCCTATAAAGAATAAACCAAACTTCAAGAGGCTAAAAGACAAATGATAAGAAGACCAACTCTGAGAACTCACCCTCTGGATCTTCTACTGTGAGTCCTATATGCCCCATAAGATCTAATTCTTTCACAATGTCCAAAAGGGCCTGGACTTATGGCACATGCAAACTACTTTCTCTTCAATATCCTTTTGGGATTCAGGTTTCAGTTAAAACCTTCCCACAAATTCTACTGATCCGCCACCTTCAAAACCCAGCTCACCTACCTCTCCAAACCAACGTAGTATGGACGCCTACCTCTTCTGACTGTCGTGCCTCACATGTAATGTGCCACCTAGAAACCCCGGCCCCGACTTACATCTCTCCTCATCCGCTTTATCCTCCTATGAGTATGGCCACCCCAATGTGAAACCAATTCAATCCATCTCTTGAGACAGCTTCCCTCCCCTGTCCCGTAAGTGAAACAAGAAATGGGGGTTCGTGGGCAAATTTAACAGAGAATGAGACCACATACTCAGATAGCTCAATGGAAGGAAAAATAATTGAAAACTTGAGAGACCAAGTGAAAGGATGGTTGAAGCCTTGGGTCTGGTCTGCAAAGGAATGCTGCTTATGTTGAACCTTTCTGACAAAATGCACTGAGAACAAATTGACGCATATGAGAACTCAAAAACCTCGTGTCAACTATGACAAAAATACAGCTACAAGTCAAGTCTAGGAGGGGTGGGGCCACATGGATCACAATCACACTGATGATTCTCGATGAAGATACTCGCTTGAAACATTAGGGGAATGTGGGAACCCAAAAAAAAACTCCCAGTCTTCAATCTTTTCTTCTCAAAAACACCACAATTCTGGCAATAAAAAAAGCTAAATACCAACCCCTATTCTGTTCGGAAGTGTTTGCGGAAGAAATCCAGTAGACTGGGTAGCACCTCTGGTTGAGGGAGCAGGGAATCTTTTTATCCCTACTTTTCTGCTGCAAGACGAGACCATTGGCTTGTACTTTATCTCAGTAAAGTTCTCATGCAAATCAGATGACTTCAAGTCGCTTTTTCTTACAGTGTATTTCCCTAGCCAGCCTGCTTTAAGGGAAGAGTTTTGGGTGGAGCTTTACAGCCTACAAAATCAGTGCCAGCTTCCATGGTGTCTAGGTGGTGATTTCAAAAGGAAAATAAATAAATAAAGGGAGAATCTTAGCCAGCATGGTGAGATTTTTAGAAATCGCTTGCCATCAACTTCTGGACATCCCCCTATTGGAGCTACTTCCACCTGGTCAAATCGCAATGAACAACCTTTTCAAATGTTAGATTGATTGTTGGTTTCTCCAAACTGGGAACCAAATTTCCTGGTTCGTATGCTTTCTTACTACCCAAACCCACTTAGCTATGAACACCATCCTCAATGGGCAAAGACCATTCCAATTTGAGTTGTCTTCATTCCAACATAAGGGGCTTCCAAGCCTGATCACAGGTTGGTGTCTTCTTCTATGTCTCCAGATCGGTTGGTTTTCGTCTCTGTAAAAAGCTTTTACTGCTCAAGGAGAAGCTTAAACAGTGGAACAAACTCTGCTTTCAGCAATATGGAAACCAACCAGAATTTGTTGTGTAAAATTCAGGATCCGGACCAGATGGAAGAAGCAGGTGATCTCTCAATGGAGGACACACCAGGATAGAAGAGGCCTGGCATAAATTTCATGAACTTTTACACTGAGAGCAGATCTTTTCGAAACAGGGATCGAGGGTAAAATTGTTTAAAGAGGGAGATCGAAACTCTGACCTTTTCCACGAAATTGGAAACGTTAGATGAAGGGCAAATACAATAACACAGTT